TTTTAAAGCAATTTGAAAGCTTTGAAATTTTTATCCAAGTGCCTATCTATATATATTCAGTTTCAGTGAGAATAGCGCAGTTGTAACGTTGTAGGCCTCTCACCTGGGCAAATCTTCTGGCTATTCTCACCGGGTGTGCATTTACAGGTGCATTTGTCAGCTTGCCTCACAAATGGCGGTGGGAGTAATGATGATGCTGTAGTGGTGGCGGAAAGACCCTGAGTTGTTGATTATCGTATACTTAGACACTGCCTTGGGGCAATGAGAAGTGGAGTCTTTTTACTTTTGACTGACACAATTACTCAGTCCTAGAGGTAATTATAGTTCTAATTCTGGTTTTACGTAAAATCCCCCGACGACAGTAATATTTTAAGTAACCTCCTCACACTCTCTTAGTAGCCCAGTCCGAATAAATAATTGATAAAACATTTTTTTCGGACCCGAGTCCAAATAGATAAAAGCCATTATAATCAGACTCGAGTCCGAATAGAGCTGGCCGTACTAGAATTAGAATGTACTAGATATCTAGACCTAGATTTTGTAGTAGGCCTACTCTAGATTCAAGGTATAAAGATAGAATCTAGGCTATTTTAGTTAAAACTTCACATAGACTATTTCACTATTATTCTCTCCTATGTTTTTCGCTTCCGTCCTTTTTATTTGCCTAAGATCCCTGTGCTCGGGAGAAAGGAAAATGCAGGATCTTAGGTGAACCAGGATCTTGCCCGAATGGCTAGGGTAAAGAACAATCTGTTCAATGATCTGACGGAGTTCCCCGCCCGTATCATCCCATCTTAATCGAAATTATCAAGTTACAACATGAACGCACCAGACTCGCTCTTGCACAGCATGATACTCACACTGCTGATACTGATATAATCATCAGGAAGTGTCATCGCACAATACCTAGTTATAAATAAGGTGTTGGAACTTCCTTGAATCTAGTCATAATTTGAGGGATGGTGCTGAGTGGTTGGATGGGATTGAAGACAGACAACTGTGGTGCTGCGTTGAGCCCTCGTGTATGAATAGTGTTTTGTTTGCATGCATGGCGTGAATATTGAAATTTGAAATGAATGTCAAGGTATGGATCAGGATCAGGAAGTGATTTACAAGAGGTTGTGTGCTTTGACCAGTGTTAGTTGTCACAGTTGTGTCTTCATGATCTGATGTCGGAGCAGTATTTTTTTAATCTTAGAAACTCATCATGAGCATCACTTTCTACCTTTCTCTTTCTGCTATACAGACCAAGGTGCATGCACTAGTTCATTCTTTTGACCTTTTATCGATACTACTAGTACTACATACTTTTCATGATGACAGAGAAGAGAAAATTGTCTGACATTAGAGTGGGTGGTTGGTGGGTGCTCTGGTGTGGTTTGCTTCTTTTTCCTATCAAACATCTATTGTCCTCCTTATCTCCCCTCCTTTTTTGTTTGTTACTCTCTTGTAACACCTCTAATCTTTGGTACTTATATGACCTTATTGTGTTGCAAGTGCCGTAAAACACTTACTAAAACTAAAACTGACATTAGAAACCAAATGAAGAATGTCAAAATAATGAGTGTTTGAGTGTCATTATTAAAACTCAAAATTTTTTTAATGAGCTGTAAAGCTATATAATGTGTCGTGACCCGGTGGAATCAGAGGAGTTCGTCCATTTTTGGGCATGTGGAGTTATTGGTACAGTCCGTGCCGGCTTTAAGCACGCCGGCCTAAGCACGTTTCGGACTCAAGCACGCTAAACGGCTCTTACCGAATTTTTGCTATATATAAATTACACGCCTTTAAGCACGGTAACTTCGGCTTCAAGCACGTTTCATTTACAAGACGGTCAATATTTTCATGATGACCCATCGAAGTTCGAACACGGTCTACACCGCAGCAGTGGAGTGTGTCAAGAGAAACACAAAGAACGCAAGTGATGGACACACACACTCACACGGGCGGAGAGGAAAGCAGATGCACACAGCCGTGCGTGAGGAGATAGGATCTAGCCTAAGCCTAGGGCAAAGCTACACACGACCCAAAAAAAATACAAAGAGTCGGGGAGACGAGAAAGGGAGGCTGGCTGCGATTTCACCTTTGACCCTCGCTATCCCTTAATCCTGATTGTGTATCACATGCGAGGTGGGATGATGGCAGTGGTATGAGTGGCACAGCAGGCAGTGTGTTACAAGTACGCCTAGTGTGCTGTATCGTGACTGGCCGTCTAAATTAAGTTTTCATTTCCCTTTCGACCACAAAACAAAAACAAACAAGCAAGCAAAAACTACCATGGCGGCCGGGTGTCTAAATAACAGTGCACACTTTTGCGAGACCGCTATAGGCCTAGTTACAAACAAAGAGAAATAGCACGGGAAATTTTCTACATGAAAATCTCTGGATTATGTCTACTTCGCACTCAAGCACGCTTCGGCTTACGCTTATGCTTTCTCCCGATGACTGTGCTTAAAGCCGGCATGGACTGTATCATCTGAAAGCTGATTTATTTGCCTTGCTTCCAATGAAAGAAATTTATCTTGAATAGAACTCAAGATATTGAAGGAATCGAGGTGGCCAGGTTTCAGTGATGAAATTAGCGAGAAAATGCCCGCCAAAGTTTGGTTTAAACTCCAACAGCTAAAGAGTCTTTGAAGATTGAAAAATTACCCATTGTATGTTCTTTAATCTATGTTTTTCAGTAAAATTCACATGGAAATGTGTTTTTTTATGGGCATAAAAGAGGTTAATTTAAAAAATAAGAATTTGATAAAAATGTCCAACCTGACGTAAAAATGACCGTTTCTTTGATTTCATAAAAATTTTGACGAGCGCCCGATTTACCACGCTGCCTCGCATATATTATAATGCTCTGATCACCATGAACTTACGAGACACAGATGAGTAGTTGTTAATGCACACATCCAAATGAACAACTTGATTCCAAATTTACTTTTCACCACAGTACAGTACACTATGCTCAAAATGTGTTCATGGGACGAAATAAATTTAGAGAGGTCAGGTACAAAATTGAGTTGTCATTATGCCTCTTTCAGCCTTTGAAAGAGGAGCAAGTCATTCACCAAATTTAATTAATGTTTTCCTGATTGAAAAATTTTTCATTTCTTTTCAGGCAAAGTGTCGCAAGTCAGAGCAATATCACAGAGCGTTGAAACAAGAAAAGAAGAAAAGACTCCCCCCAACATCTCTTGAGATTGAAGATGTTCACTTGTTTAGCAAAGAAAAATTGAGAAATAAATTGTGAGTATACTATGAGAATGCATTCTTGTTAGAATTTTTCTGATATTTGTGCTTAATTTACCTTATGTCTTTTTTTATTTTTGTGACAGGTATTTTTACGCCCCTATCGATACAATTTAGATCATTTAGAAGGTGAGCTTCTTACCTAGGTTGAGAGGGATGCAACAACCCAGCGGAAAGACAAAGATGCTTGACAAATATTCTTTACACTCTGGAATCAAACGGTGGCCTAGTGGTTAGGCTCTCAGATTCGCAACCGTAAGGTCGTGGGTTCGAATCCCGTCAGGGGCCCAACGTTGTGTCCTTGGGAAAGGCACCTTGCACAAATTTTCCTCACTTCACCCAGGTGGAAATGGGTACCCAGCTATAGACTATAGTCAGTGAAAGATCTTGTCAGTTTGATAGTGTTTGAGTGCGTGAAATCCGCAGCTTGCACTGTATGTGCTTCCTCGGAAGCTGAGAATGTTTCTGAGTGTTCCTAGAGGGTCTGCTGGGGTAATAATAGTTGTAAAGCGCATAGATCATGCTCTTGAGCATAGATATTCGCTATATATATAAATGCAATTATTATTAATTATTAAACGAACAGGGTCCCCAATGTGTGACAGGGAGGCACCTACCTAACAGCTACGCCACAGATGCCAGTAATTTGTTTGTGGAAAGCGTCTGGCTTGCATTTTAATGATTCGGTCTTTTTTACACTGCCGCACTGATTTTAGAGATTAATATTTTCGTCACTGTCAGATTTTTAACCTGTGACCTATTGAATGAGAGGCGAACACCGCACTTCTAGACCATGAGAGCCCTGTTTTTACCATGATTGCAAATGTCATAAGGTTGTAAACAGTGGTGACCATTGAAATTTCATGTTCCTCTCCCCACGCTTGATAGTAGTATGGCATGTAATTTTTGTAAACCAGAATCAGCTGTGCACACCTGCTAGAGACCAGCATTTATCAGACTTTGTATAGCTCTGTAAGGGCATTGGCTTTCTTAAGATTTAGTTATTTTTAAAGAAGAGTATAGACCTTTTTGTTTTGTTCTCACTAATACCCTTTTTTTTTTCAGCAAAAATCCAAAGAATAATATCCAGATATCGGGAAAGAAAAGGAGACGACTCACAAAGAGACTTGGCCATGCACTCCGAGAAAAGTCTCAGATGGATGGTAATGTTCAGCATTAGTTCAGTCTCCCTTTCAAACTTTCTATTCTGATTCTTGTTTAAGTTTTTTATTTTATAAAATGGTTTCCTAAAATAATTGTGAGAAAAATACTGGGAGGCTACTTACATTCTAGCTCGCACATAGCGAAATTTGAGGGATGCAGAAATCTCTTTAATATATCATATGTATGAATTTGGCCTACGTGTTGCAAAAAATAGACATCATGTTTAAGTATATGAAAAAATGTGAGATCTGAAAATCTGTTTGCTGTGTGCGTGCTAGTCTGGTGTCAGTAATTTTCCAAATGCAGTTGAATCTGCCCAAATTACCACTTTCAATTTCTTCCCTTGCATTTTTTTCTCATACTCTATACATTATTAATGACACTTCCTAGAATAGTGACCCTTCCAATGTGGCCATGGCCAATTTTTTCAACCAGTAGCCCCTAAACCTGTCAAGGAAGAAGGCCACAAATATCTTTTATGACTGACAAGTCGGTGTATTTATGGGCTCCTGATGCTATAGACGAGCAGTCATATTTTATAATCCATTCATTTGTTATTATCCTATGAATGCACCAACTGCTGACAGCATGTTGCTAAGACGGGGTTTCTGGTTGAAGTGAAGGGTTTTGAAGATTTTTATTAATAGTCCTGTCCAAGACATGTTAAATGATTAAAAGGGGGCTATCCCGAAAAATGCTGTTTTGAGAAAATCAAGGATAAAGTTTTTGCTCCTTGTTCAGTTTCTTTAAAAGACAAGAAGAGTTTTCTCAATGACCAAACAAATATACACACCAGTCAAACCAAACTTCTCCTGTAGGTAGGGCAATGCCCTCTCTTGGTGTAGGTCAAGATTTAATTTCTGGAAACCCCCGAAATCTGGGTTAGCCTGCTCGTCCTTAAAAGCGACCATATAATGTAAACGTGTGCCGCCACTGCCTTTTTTTTTTTTCTTTTAGGTTTTATTCTTATGATATAAGGTGTTTGGATAGTTTAGGAGGAGGGTGTCCATTCCTGCCCGTCAGGGTCAACCCAGGTAGTTGAGAGGGATATCTCCCCGCAGAAAGACTGAGATAAATTTGTTCTCCACTCAGGAATTAAACTCAGGTCCTTTGGAAGGGAACACAAAGCACCTAACTGCTATATTCACAGATGCCTATCTTATTTGAGTAACCTTCTTTGTATTGCATGTGTTTATGAAATTTGATAAATAGAAGTAAATATAGTCATCTGGCTGGACAAATGGAATATATATCCATTGGAAATTAAAATTTCTTTTGGACTGATAATTTTGTCACACGTCTTTTTTCAACCACTTCCTCTGAAGAAGAAAAATGAAGAATCGATATATATATATATATAAAAAATAATATGTAATGTCCCCTAGGTGCTGCTTTTACCTAGATTTTTAATAATTTTTCATGGTGATATTTGTACCTTGTTGGAGGCTGATACTGATATCAGATTCTAGTCGGAAACAGTAACAGTTAAGTTATGTAGGCTACAAGTTTAGAAAAAATTGTAACCTCTTATATTGTGACTTTTACGAATGTGAAATGTTATCTGTTGGCCCTGACAGTTCTATTTTTTTCCCCACAGTATCATGATCACAACTGAATACAGTGGAATCCTGTTATAACGAGAGGGAGGGGACTGGTGCAAAATGTCCGTTATTGTTGAATTGCCATTATAAGGGATCTAGTTGTAAATTCAATGGAGTTTGGTGTTCGGTTTATTTCTTTTTGTCATCTCCCCTGATGATGATTTTGTTTCAGCATGACCTCTTGGTCATACTTGATAAAAAATCGAATCAGGTTTCTTTCTCTAGCGCTTTTGATGTTGACAGCTTGGCATTGGCGATCAGAAAGAAAGGGCTCTAGGCTAACTTGTCCACTGCGTTGTCCCCCACCCTGTGGTGTGTTCCGTCTGCTTGGGCACGTCACACATTCGCTCCATCCATCAAATCACACACTGTGACCTCTCCATCCCCGTATCGGAGAAGTGAGAGGCATGGTAGGCCTAGATAATTTAGACTGGGCTGGCCTGTGACGCAATGCACTCTGCTTGTCTACTCATGCCACACCCTCCCCACTCATTCGCTCCGGCCTTCATTGTTGGCGCACATGGCCTACATGGTGCACAGCAGCAGCAATATTCCGCTATAAACTATAACCGACTCGCGTGTTTGTCTGATTGCGCTATAGCAGTATTTTATTTACAAAGATAAAGAAGAGAAAAAAACGGGGTTTTAGAATAGTGTCTTTATGACAGACTTCTCGTTATTTCAGGACTCGTTATTAGTGGACTCCACTGTATTGTCAAATTATAAGGAAAATATTTGTTACAATTCAGTAATAAGAGCAAAAATTTATTTTCGTTTATTTATATATTTTATTATTATTACGACTAGAATCTAATTATTTTATATTTTCTTTCCAGTGGAGGTTGAGAGTTCCAGGGCGACGAAGGCTCAGGCTGAGAATGAAGACTCAGCTATGGCTGACCTTGGAGAGACAGAGCAGGACCTTGTTCCTCCCGAGGTTCCTTCCACAAGCTCAGCATCCTCTTCTACAAAGAAAAAACGTAGAGGGGGGAAAAAGCAGAGAAAGAAACAGACTTCTGGGGCGAAAGATAATCAGACAGATGATGGTTGGGAAGATGTGGATATGGGCGAGGATGAGGATTTGTGATTACTTGTCTTTCAAATCTTTTTGTAAATAAAATTTGTACAGTCATTTATTTAGAGATTTTATCTTGGTGTTTTCATATTCGGCTTTTCCTGTGCCGAGTTCTTGTTTCTGTACTGTCTGTTAGTTTTTGTTTTGGAAGAGACAAGGCAAGGTTCTGGGTTTTGAGCTTCAGCTCGATCTGACGTTTCGAGCCTCTGCTCTGTCTGACGTTGGGTCCCTGGGAAAGGCACTTTACTCGAATTCCCCACTTGCGTCAGTCCTTTCGGAGATGGACATTAGAACTTAGGATGCCCCGCCTCTTAAATAACCGTAACCTTACAGTGTTGATAGGGGTGTGAAACCTATACCATGCCATTTCTGACAAGGCAAAGTTATGCTCATGGGTAGTTGGTGGATAGCCTGTATGCTTCCCTGTAAGCTGAGAATGTTTCTGAGCTAAGAATATTTTTGAGCGTTATAGGATCCACTAAGACAATAATATAGAGTGAAGCGCATAGCATAGAGCTTGCTGTCGAGCAGGGATATAATGTAATATAATACAAATGTTATTTAAATTGTATTATTATTATTATAAATTTATTGTCCCTTGATACATGATTGCTACCTTAGAGTTGTCTTGCTTCTTTTAAATCTTTCCTGCAGTATATGATCGCGGGTGGTGGGAGGGCGCCACTGGTAGGTCCTACATCTTTACTTTCCCTCTGTTGTTTTGGTCTGTCTGTCTCACTTTTTCTCAGCACTAAATGACCATTGGGGCATTATTGTGTTGGAAGGACTTCTCTTTTTACTCAAACCTAAATGAACTTGATCTAACCTTATAAATACGTTCACTTCAAACGTGTATTTTTAAATGCAGGTGCTTTTCACGCCTCCATCGACTCAGGCTGAGAGGGACACAATGCAAAATGTCCCACCAGACAGACCAAGATAGTCTATAAAAATGGAAATCGAACTCGAATCTTCGTGCGACAGCAAAGCGCTGAACCACTACACCACAGACGTTGATTGTAGTTGTAGTACTGTATTAGTAATTAGTATGTTACATTTATGACGTTCAATTCATTTACCTTGGACCGTGAAAGTATAAGGCACCCCACCCCTAGGGACGGTGCTAGTGACTGAAGTGTCTTCTTAGGGCCATTCTCAAAGGGGGGGGGGGGGGGGGGGGACATTAACATGTTCTTACATATTATGCACAGTAGACTTGTAAATTGGCTGATTCATCAATGTCATGCTCACAACTGCCGGAACTGCAGCTTTTTCTTTCCTAATCCTTATATATACTATCGTCGTTTTTTCACTACTTCTTTTGTATGTTTGTCACTCTCTTGTGTCCCGCTATTTCCAGGGCGCCTTGATAGTCGAAGCAGACTTTGTGCTGTTGAAATTGAAGCTAGAGAGCTGAGCAGAGTAAGCCTGATTCTCTGTATGTGTATGGACGCTCATTATTATCTTATGCAGTTGCGAGCGCCGTAAAACCTCTACTTAAACTTAAAACTTAAAAAGTAAAAGGCTGCAACACTGTATGTCTTAGATATGACTGCCGGTATAATTATTGTGATGTCCTGTTGTCTACTGTTCTCTTTCTTTTACTTGTACGTCCCCATCTACATAATTTAGACTATTTAGGGAGGGGGGCTGAGCTGCCAGGGACACAACATCCCAGCTGAAAGACAGCGGATACATGTACAATAATACATATATGTAATAATTGATGTTTTTAGAAACTGGGAAGGCTCAAATTTTTGTAATTCAGATCATTTAGGAGGTGAGTGGCTTGGGTTGTCAAGGTTAGTCAGGGCCGACAGGAGGGAGGATGAGGAGAAGAAGAAAAAGGGTAGATGAAGAGATGGAGGGGGGATATAACGGAGATGATAAGAAGGTGAAGGATAGGGGATGAGGAATTGGAGGAGAAAAGAAAAAAGGTGGAGGAAGAGGATTTTAGAAGAGATCCAAGAAAGAAGTTTGATTTAGTTGAAAATAATAATAGTAGGGCTGTTCTCTTTTTCTTTTTCAAACACAACCCTATTTGATGTCATCCCTCTTTTCCTTTCTGTGCGTGTTTATGAGATTGTATGTGTGTGTATTTCTGCGTGTGTGCTGCGTGTATATCTGTCCCCGGCCCCGTGGTTTTATTCACACCGCATAATTTAGCAAAATTTGATCATTTTTTTCCTTTATCATTCTTTGTTAAATTAACAGAATCGCATAATTTCACATTTTTGGGCTGAGTTTGCATAATTTCAAAATTTTTCTTGCATAAAACAACGGGGCCAGATGCGTGGAGGAAAGATAAAGAAAAATATAGCGACACAAAAGAAACAAATACATGTAAAAGATCAGTAGTAGTACTAGAAGTAGAAAAAAAAGAGAAGAATCAAAACAAAGATATGACTGTTAAATACACGTCATGTGAACAACATGCATTTTAAAAAATCAAAGAAGTACGAAAAGAAAGGATGCTGAAACACAAACTGTATAAGATGAGATATTTTTATTGAAAAATGGCATGTTTTAAACAGCTGGTCTAAATAGATCCGACACGGAAACCATTAAAGGTAGAGGAGACGAAAAACCAGTGGTGAAAGATTAAAGAAATGAAATACATGCAAACAGAATTTTGGGTCTCGGACTTTTTCTTATACATATCATTATTTAATATTAATACATGTACTAATACTAGTAAAACTAATACATGTAGACCATACAAGTATAGGCTTACATTAAAACCCGTACACGATAGCGAAAAGATTTAATTCTCACGTTCTAATGATTTCACTCTGTGCTTGCTAAACTGTAGATGCAACTGGACCACACATTTTGAAACAAGAAGTGCGAAATGAACAAGATGGAAAAGCTAAAGCAACAAGGGCAAGATAATCATATTTTTGTTGAAGTAATTGTCACATTTAAAAAATTATGTACATTGTACTGAAATAACAACGATGTTCGTAAATTCTATCTATGACAGTGGTAGGTATTTACATCATGTACAATGTAGTAAGATCACACACGCAAAAAAAACAACCCCTCCATACCAAGGAGGTTACTACAGTAACTCCACACAACATAAACACATGCAGGAGCACGCACGCACATACACACACAACATACACTCACATACATGCACAAACAAGTTTTCAAAATATAATAATTTGCTGTTTTGCTTAGATTCCCCGATTTCTTTCATTTGTCATATTATACCAATGTCACTTCATATTGATCATGTTCAATACTTTGGTTTAATAATAAACTTTCAAATCTCAAAAACAGTCGCAGTTTTAAATTTTAAAAATTTAACGACTTTTTCGATCGTGTAAGGGCCCCTTTAGACTAGAGAGAATGTTTTTTTGGCATTACCCGTAAAGACATTATTATGCTAGCAAATCTTGAGTCAATTAAAGAGAGAGTTGTTGAGGCAACATTGAATGCAGATATGCCAAATCATATCAGGTATTCTTCCATTTTAGAGAGACACAGTGAAATGGCAAAGCCCAGCACTATGGTTCGGGAGATTGAGATTTTTGAAACTACAAAGTCATTGCAAAAAAACAATCCATAATTTAAACTCAAAATGGACGTAAATTGACGTATAGCAGGCAGTGACTTTTGTGACACCAGCGGTGCAGAAGTTATTTCCTTAAAATCTACACAATTTGGAGACAACTCTGGGCATTATGAGTGTCTTCTTCCTGAACAACTATGTCTTCAAAGTCCCCTTCGCCTCCCCCAGTTACCAGCAGTTATTGGTAAAAAAAACCGCCACAACAGAAAAACACAGGCAGAAGTTAAAACATCAAGTCCATACAAAAAGCGACTTGAAGAAATGCTGTCTCCTAAAGAGACAAAAAGAAAAAAGTTAAACTTAAACACGACTGGTTCCTTGGAGAGTCACTGCCAAAAGAGAGCTAAAACTAAAAAGTGGGGTAAAAAGTCACTTTCTGATTCTTTTCCAATGATTACATGTATTTGTTGATGTATATCCACATTTCTGCACAAAAAATCAAAGCGGGATTTATGTCTTTTTGGTTTGGGCTAGCTAATATATTTTATTGATATATATATATATATATAATTATCTAGAACGAGACTTTAAATTTAAGCCCCGCCTTCCCCTAGGCCAAGTATTGAGACAGAAAAGGTGATGTAGATGTAAAAAAAAGGCATGATGATACCTTTTTTTTAAAAGCTTTTAATCCTATTTTTGACAATCACAAGCAAAGGTTAAAAGGTCACAGGAATTTAACAGTTTTAATATATCTCTAGGAATATCATAGTGAGTGGGATACGAGTAGTACAGTCGACTCCGCTTGTACTTGAGTTGAACTCAATTAAGTTGATCTTTTCCTTTGGTCCCTGCACCTCTTCTTCTTCTTTACAGGTCCCAAAACTTTGGATGAGTTGATCGGTGGTTTTTTTCACTTCCCCGACGACATCAACTCATCCGTACTCGACTGTGTAAACGTGTAATATCATTGGATCCCATGCCAAATGTAGCCCAGAGAATGAGAGATAAAACAAACCAAAAAAAAGCAAAAAATTTTTTTTAAAGAACAGTAGATCTAGTTTCGATACAATAAGTCCAATTCTGAAAAATAGAAACATTGCATGATTACCAAAATAACTTTTATGACTACCCCTGCTTCAAAAAGGTGAGCAAATATATTTTGTCACTTTTTAGTTTTAGGTCGAAGCCCACATGAACCTAAAACTGAATTATGATCTAATAGTGTCGATGGGGTTGTAAAACTTCCACAAACAAACAATGACAATATCACTAGGGGAGGGTGAAGCAAGTCGTCCACCCCACCTTTACCGGAAAATGTTGTCACATCAAATCGAACTTATACTCTCTGAGCGGAAACCATTCAAATTTAATTATGTACCGGTATACAAAAAGAGCATTTCACTGACCCTCCTCCTTAAATGCACTTGAATATAATTAACTTCAAATACACATTAATTAGTGATATATATATATATATATATATATATATATATATATATATATATAACTTACGATTGTTATCTGTTTTCAGTGATAGCACA